GCCCTGGTATAACGTGACAGAGAGTCGCCCATGACAGAGATTCCGCTTCCCATTCGTTTGTACAGGTAAGCCTCGCCCCAGGTTAGGTCAGGCTAACCCTAACATTATAACTAAATGGAGGGTGGGCTCTCTTCTACACGGACTCTCAGTTCTGTTACACTGACAGTGAGAAACATATACTCCAGTGACAATTCTTATGGGCAACTCACATCTAATTAAAACTTGTTCTTAGATGTTCATAAAAAAATTCATTGATTTTATCTAATATGCATGTTTATTCCCGCCCAAAATATAGCGGCAATAACTTGTATTTTCTCTCAATTTCAGAAAACTCGACACCGGCCGCCGCCAACAAGATCCAAAGTTTCGTCAATAGCCATATGGTAATCAATCGCCCAATTAGAGTAGAAGATCGGCAGCTTTTTACAGAAAAACTTGTCCTTCGCGACGACTTCATTAGGGAACTAAACTCCAAAATGGTGGCTGAAGACAAACTGATAGAGCTAACGTTTCAGATACACACGTTGGAGTGCACGAACCAGAACTTGCAAAATAAACTGGCAGCAGCCAACTCCGTTATCAAACGCTCTCAGGGTGAAAAGCAAGATAAAGACAATGAAATAGCCGCTTTAAAGATGACAGTTGAAGGCAAAAATGAAGCCATTGAGGAATTAAGGGAACAATTACAGAGAGAACAAAAAACCATACGAGACCTTCTCTCAAAAACCCAAGACGAAATGATCCATGACTTGGAATTAGAAGTCATGGGTCTTCAGGGAGACGTTAAGCAATTAAACGAAAGAATCGAACTCGAACGCGCTGAGAGAGAAGCCGAACAACAGATAACTCAATCGCGTGTAAGAGAGATGAACAGGCTAATGGCGGTTTCCGTCACGCCGGCACATGCTAACAACAAAAATGACACTTTAGAGACATCTGATGACGTGACGTCATTGGAGGTGTTAAAGCAAAACGTTGAGACTATCTGTACCCAATATATTACAATACAAAACACTCTTAAATACGTGCAAGACGATCTGAACAGCATGAAAGAAGAAGAACAAGCATGTTTAGACATGCTTCAAGATACCGAAAATTCCGAAGATGGGTCCTTAAGGGAGGTGTTGAGAACATTCCTTGAAAACAGTTCTCGGAGAATTTCAAAACTCGAACAAAGACTGGCAACACTTCAAGAAAGAATGACGTTAATAAACGAGGAAAAAATGCAGCTGCAATTCCAATTAGAAAACAGCATGCTGGATAAAGAGGTACTTAAAAACGGCATGGTGGTCATGAAACGCAAGGTCCTTGACACCAAATTTGGAGCTTTGCAGACGTCTTCTGATCATGGAAGCATTATTCATTACAGAAAGGACGATGATCACGAGCTTCGCTTTCGGTTACCCGCCATAAAGCGCAGTTCGAGTGCTGCGGGAATTTTGCACTTGGGCGTGCCGCACGTGCGCAACGTAACAATGCGGGACACCACGTCGGTGTCACCGACACCAAAAGACAAACATTCCGTATCCCCCCGACCAGTTCATCATAAAATACCTACCGGTACCTCAGATGGACTTAATGTGTGTATGGTATGCAATAGTGAATATTCGGATGAGGACAACCATGATGCTGCCTGTAGTTTTCATTTAAAGGCATTCAAATCTTTGCCTGGATCGAAAGCTGGGAAGTTCTGGCAGTGTTGCTTCAAAAGCAGCGAGACTGCAGCCGGGTGTTGCTCGGGTAGACATCGAAACAAGTGAATCGAAAATCTCTAATGATTTATTTAGATCTATGTACTCTCTAATGTAGTTGTAATGGTACATTGTACCTATGCAAAAGCCGTTTGGCATAAGAATTAATCACAGACAAATACATTTTCCTGAATCACTTGCTTAATGTAAGACCTTCGGCATGTATAGAGTACATGAATTATGGGGTATACAGTTATATTATAAATCAATTTCTGTTTATTTTCTCAATATCAGGTCACTTTTAATAAGAGGATAAGAAGTTGTGTAGGGAGAAAGGGGAAAGGCCACTTTCCAGCATGAAACACTTTTCATTAAAAGCACAATGTTGACAATGCACTGCGTCTAAAATTAGCATTTCAAGTGTATTTTACACAGAAAATAAAAATGTGCAGAAATATTAGGATGGCTTTGCACAAGGCAGCGACTACCACATAAACCTCGATCGCTATGGTGTAGATATCATAACAACCTAACGCTTTTGCATATCATATTTTCATAAAAAAATTCTCCGGATTTTCTTCCTCAAAAGACATCTTAAACCTTAGGTAGTTTTTAAGGGATGAAAACACACTTATATCTTTGTTTGTTGTTGTTTCAAGTAGTAGTTGGTACAATACTTAATCTCTCGTGATTGACTTGGCCTGTGACGGTTGCGATCATGCTATTGCACAACAAACGCAATTGAATAAGTGCAGTTGTAATAAACGTTGTTATTCGTTATTCCATACTGTTGTGTTAAAATACCCTCCTTGAGTGCCTAGCCTTAAAAACATGGACTACATAAAAAGAACAAATGAAATGATGGTAATTTATTTATAAATTTGAAACACACCTACAATATTACATTTTAGTGGGACTTTTATATGTAGACCATATAATTTTCATTTAAGTTGAAAATGCAAATAACAAAAATTAAAATATTTACGACTGGTCTTTGATCGATATTTGAATGCATTTGCGGTTGGACAGAATTGCAATGTTCTTTCAAGCAAGACATATCTGCATAGCCACTGGATTTCGGAATGTCCAAAATTGCTTCATTAATGGGTCCCGACTGGGAAGAAAGGGACAAAGAATTCGCAATTGGCCCTAAGCATTCTGACTATTACATCCCAACTTTAACAAACAGACAACACCTTGATTTTCAGATTCCATAGTTGCGTTCAAACATATTTAACCAAAAAAAATTTTAAATTTAGCTCCTACTTTCTGAAACTAAAGCTGAGAGTTTTTCTTAAGAAAACTGAACAAATCAAGTCCACATCCAACATAAGCATTTTGCTTGACATACATGCGTTTTCCCACTGTTTATTATCGTGAATAGAATCCAAGACATCTAAAATGCCTGTCAGATTTTTAGTGGGGATAGGTTAAACCATTTGCATACGAGTACCTAGATATTGCCTCTGATTTCATGGTTGAAAGAGAGCGACATTGTGTTTAAAGTCCATTTTCCTTTAACCATAAAAAAATCGCGGCTAATATTAGAACTATTGTCAAAAGAAACATTTAGTGCACATCTAAATGTTTTGATAATTTCTTTCATCGCCAGCACATTATACGAATGTCAGACTGCTATATAAATGTTCCCGTAACGTGCCACTTTTAAGCCCTGCGTTGTTTGAAGGTTGGTAATAGATTGAATTATAATGAAACTAAGTAGCAGCTTGCTTATTATGGTCCAATACGGGCCTAATTTATCAAATGAAAGCCACTTGTTTCACCGTATCTATACACAGTAGTATGGTTCTTAATGTCTGGAATCGGTGCACGTTTTTGCAAGCTAGTTTGTATGTATAAGGATAGATGGAGTTAATCTTACACAAATAAGTTGTCTGTGTCCTCTCCTTACTTGGAAAGAGAGTCTGACCCTTTTGAAAAAGCAAACGTTTATGTACATTTTGAAGACTCAGTGCGTGGAAAGCAGCGGCTTTTAATACTTATCTGAAAATTGCAAACAAAATCCGAGACAAATTCTATTGACATTTATTTCAAAGGCTCAATAACATAAGGAAAATTTACCTTAGCGATAATAGAGTTGACCTAGTAAAGAAAATCTCGATTTGCCGAGATTATTTACTCACACCAAAGGGACCTTAAAATCCGATAAGAAAGTCTGTATTCTACAGACCTATTTTTCAATCAAGGTTGGAAATCACTACATCTTGTGTGACACGCCATATTATAGAGACATATTATCAAGTAGGCGCATGATAAATTCAGCGTATCTGTTATATATATATATATATATATATATATATATATATATATATATATATATATATATATATACTTTACGATCATAAGCATAAGCGGCAAATTCACAATAGGACATTTAGTACATCAACAGTAGCTGGAGTAGCTGCATTTATTCGGTAAATCAAAATACGTTCACCGTTGGTGACACTTGTTAATCTAACCTAAGAAGCCCCGAGAAAACTTCAATTTAAAGTGTCTAGTCTGATTTTGGCGTCTTCTGTTTACAAACGACAAGTAGCCCACGGAAAGACACGTTAACAATATCGACTAAAACAGCTAAGTATATAATTAATTTTGTAACCTGAAGCGCCTAGCTACATTTAAATCTATCCAGTGTCACCAAGTTTGAATTTCACATACATTAATAATAACGTTTTAGGCTCCACTATATATTCAAAGGTATTTTAGGTTCACCACATAAAAAAGGGCATTTTCATATTATGCAGGTAACATATCTGGAGCAAATCAACTATTTTTATAACACTGAATGAAAGAACTGATCAAATATGTTGTTAGGGCAGAATATCCACATTGTTACGGGGTCTTACGTTGCAAAGCACGGTATATCAGATAACATTAGTGCATGGATTAAAGTTTCAGTACACGGGGTGCACAAAATCACGAGTGAGTTTGACTGGGGGAGGGGGGTCGAAAATGTACAACTATTTAGCAGCTAAATTAGCCTGCCCTTTATATTACTATGAGTCCCGTATTTAACTCATTACCACACTAATAACGACGACGTTAAAACGACTTACTTTCTACAGTCAATGTAAAAATAAGATATATCTTGCAATAATGACATTTGCCGACTCCGCCCCTTCTTTACCTGTCTTACTACGGCATAATTCATGAATATGTCGAAAGGTAGTAGTAATATAAAGGCGTCTTAATAATACACAACAATCGCGCGCCAGAGGGTGGAAACGATAAAATACATACGCATTTAAAAATACATAATAAACCAACACTCTTAAGATGACATATACAACCTGCAAAAACTATTTATTTGTTTGTGACCAAAGGTGCAAGTGACTGGTGGACCTCATAGGGTTTGGTTAAGATGACTCTCCAAAACCAAATGTGTGTCGCCGTTAAAAGGGTCACAGATGTTAACCTTCCTTGGTGGTTACGCGGAAATTTGGCTCGGCGACAGGGCAGCGTTTCATCTTTGTGTGGTTGAGTGTCTCACATTTTTTCAACCTGGGGCAGCGTCAGTTGAGGTCACCAAAACAGGTGTGTAACATTACCGCTGATGTTAAAGCGCGTCCTATAAACCAACAGAACAAGGTGCACAGTAGCTTTGCTACTTTAGGAACAAAATGGCTAGCTTCCGTACTCTGGCGGTGAAGTTTGCATCAATTTTACTGCGATTCAGTATCCTGTCTGTTTCGCTGAACGGGCTTGTCGTACACGCTCAAAATACGACTCTTGGGGCGGTAGTCTCGCCGAAATCTAACTCCAGCGAAGCAAGTCCCGGTTACGCTATCTTAAGTTCCTCGACAACAACTACCCAAAGACCAAACAGTTCAGATAACGCCGGCACTCAGCAATGTCCTTCGACGTGTTACTTGCTCCCTGTGGACGACAGCGCGGCAGCAAGGATCCAGGAGATGAAAACAGACAAGGTACTGTTGATGGAATTCAACTTAAAACTCAGAGGGTACGGTGAACGTGACAATCCATTACGCCCCGGGAATTTTTCTAACAACTATAAACCTGGACATTGGGTAAGGACTGGCACAAACCACGGTTTTACTCTGATGGCCCTGGAGTTCAACTACGAAATCCTTTCCCTGATGATGCTAAGGTTTCGTACGGACAAAACGGACATCTCCTTAAAAGAAAGCAACCCCGGTTGCCTTGTCAATATGCCCGAACATTGTAAAATAGAGATGATGCAGGACTTGGTGCTGAAAGAATTTGATCCCAATAAGACCAGCGCCTCTGTGCCTGCTGGTGAGTACGTCTGTCATCAGGTTGTACGCCAACGTAACGGATATGGGGATTTTTCATGGCGGTGCTGCAACACAGAGGGTCATTGTGAGGAGAAGGAGGGCTCTTACTGGCTAACTGTTTTAAATGTTCTTATATCACTCTGTATGTATGGTGTGATTTTATTCGGTCCTTTGTTAGTGCCAGCCTGGGCGTACTCATTCAAAGCTGACAAGGGCATGTACGTTCTTAACATGCATGACGGTGGACTTAAAAAGCGAGTTTACGTCACAGAGGACAAGGTACCAAATATGATTAATCCCCAAACATACGCTCACCACCGTGGACATCGCCAATTTCAAGACATTTAAAAATCAAGTCAAAGAGCTTCCAAAGAACACGATAGTTGAGAGAATGCTTCCGAAATTCCATTTATCTGTCGATTATAAAGAGCTGTTGGATGAAAATAGTGTACCGGTCGGTGTAATGAATCTGATCTACCGGATGTTCTGCGAATGCCAGATTAGAAAGATTGGACCTTGCGTGGCATGCTGCAAAGCTAGCCTGCTCGGATGCTGCCGTCGGGAATTCCCCGTTAAATGGATTCATTTCTGGAAAGGAGTTCTTGTGATTTTGTTCATCCTGTTTCTACCTTTCCCGTTTTACATCAGGCTGCTGCTGTATTTTGGATACGAAGACAAAGAAATAATGAGCCGAAAGAACACCATTGAAGCTTTAGGTTTGAACGAGAGATACAGCAACAATTTGTTGCAGTTTCTCACGCCAATCCATCCCGTTTTCATCGCCTGCTACGTGTTATATTTTGTCACCTGCCTCGTTTTCTGTCTGGCCTACGCGAATGTCATCGGAACCGGAAAAGTCCAGATGGTCATGAAGAATTCCTTCAGGGACCTGAACAGCATTTCTTACTTCAATATCATCGGCATGGTGGTCGGGGTGTTTCTGCTCCCATTGAAAATGTGCGGCTGCTTTGGCTTGATCGTAGGCATTGTCTATTGGCCGTTAGTAATGCCTTTTGTATTATTAGCAGCTGTCATCTACTCATTGCCAACCGTGTATCTTACATTTAGAATGATGTTCAACGTCCATATGCATATCAAACCGAAGAGGCAGAAAATCAAGAGAGGGCCATCGGTTAAAGGAGTGAAAAGAGATTTTAAAGATGGATTCAAGGAGGTGAAGTGTCTTATGGACGTCACTGATAAGAAGAAAAAAGAGAGCGACCAGCTGGATCAAAATCTAGCAGACGACGAAAACAACCCGAAGAAGGACTGGGGCGAGTTGAATGCGAGGCGTTCTTTGAAGCATAGATGTTTGGATTACATCAAGGAGATTTTTGTCGTGATTCTGTGCCTTGCCTTCCTCTACACATGTATGTTGTTGCTGGCTGAGGTCGCTGAGCTCATCGTTGAAGTCATAGTTTTTACCCTAATGGGGATCATCGTCAACGCTGGCATCACGCTTAAGTACATATCCCTTCTTTTTCTCGTTGCTCTCTACAGTTATGATTGCTACAACGGAGTTTATAAAACTTACCTTGATTTAAGTAAGAAAATCATATCAGATGTCAACGGCCGGATACCCGAAGTTAAAGAAGTAACACGGCTCCCGAGTCACTTGCAACAAAACGAGGCGTTCAAACTGAAGATCGAGACGGACTACGATCAAGAAGGAATTGAGGCAGATTTTTCACCTAAACATAAGACTGATTATGAGATAAGCAATCTTGTTCTATTCGTCGATAGAAATGATACGCCGCGAATTCCAAGAAAGTTATTCGAAAAAATGTGTCAGATTGAGGTAGCTGGATCCCCAGGCCCCGTCTACAAAAATTTACTTCGCGCCACGGCGAAGTTCGTCTGCATCTTAATTTTCCTTCTTTTTGTTTTCATCGTAGTGGCCACCTTCGGGAACATTTATAAAATTTCGACAACAAACCAAATGTTCGCCACCCTTGCTGGGGGTTTCATCCCATTTATGCTACGAAACTTTTTATCACCAGGTGGGGCAGCAACCGGGTACAAAAGCTCGGTGAGCTGGCAAGCGAAGTTTGATGAAACCATCGTGAATTTCCGTCAACACTGGCCAATAGCTGACATTGAGCTGGTTCCGGTTCAGGAAGAAATGAGCGATATAAGTGACGATAAAATTGGCGGGAAAGGAGAGAATGATGCCATGGATGAAATAGAACTTAGAAATGAAGCAGAAGAGCCCCAGTCACCAACCATGGATAATAGTGAAGTAGATCTCCTGGTTCGGGTGGTTCGCCGGAAAAGACCGACGCTGGGAGAAATTCTGACAGGCAAAGGGCTGTCAAAGGAAGACAACTACCGCCCAGTCGGTGATGATAGTGTAAAAAGTCCAGTATGAAAAAGTCATTGTCATTTAATGGTGGATCCAGGCGATCGAAGCGCATAGACTACTACTTGCTCCTCCGTAAGCTTCTGATTCTCCTCCTCCCCCTTTCCGAAAAAAAGAAAAGAAAAAAGAAACGTGTGTATATTTGCTCAGTTAATAGAGTCAAACAATATATCTCCCAACTCCTCTATAGCAAAAACTTGGATCCACAATTAGTTATCATTGTCGTCATTATCACGAAGACGCATTACCCTCTACCAGGGAAACAGATTGATTTTCCAAAGATATGTCTCTAGATAAATAGACTGTCATTTTGTTCTGTTGACAATGTCGCCCTGGTAGAGGGTAAAGACGCATCTGAAGTCCAGGAATCTCAATCAGTTCTCTAGTTAGGCAGAGTTTACATCATCCGATTGGTTCGTACAATTTTTCGAGCAACAAAATCAACACAGTAAACAGGAAAAGCGATATTCATGCTTTGGACATATGTGACAGTCTCATTTAAAGAATATTGGAGAGGATTGAATCGACCTGGTCTGTTGATTATACAAATTTAGATGAAGTTTTCGTCTTGCGTTTGAATTCCTTATGGATGTGTGGTGAAGGCCGAATTAGCTTTTTATCAAATGATTGTGCGATTATTGTGTTAGCAGCATAATAATATATAATTTTGTACAATATATATATATATATTTATATTAGTATTAGTATTAGTACGTCCCGTCCACATGTACTTGAAAAATGTGGTTTCTTTATATTCTATTAGACAATTAATTAGCATGAAAAAGCTTTCTGTCAGGTTGTAATGGTAAATAACACCTGTAAATCACATGTATATCTGACTGGTGCGATTTTCACTTTTGTTACTTTTATATGGCTTTGCACTAACTTATTTTATCACCATAGTTATTGTAAGCTAAAGGCCGTAAGATACAGTACACCGGGCAATATTTTTGCCCGTAGTTTTGGATTTAAGTTGCATGTTTTACCATTTGAAAATGTCCAGAAAAAAGCTTAACTTTCATATTTTCTTACCACTAAGCGAATAATTATGCTATGTACAAGTCCGCCTCTGACCTTAGTTACGCGCCACTTAGTTCGTCCTGCCTAGTATGATCTACCACAAAGTGACACATAGGGCCTAATGATATTCGTGGCTCAAGTCTTATCTCGTATATTGTATTCACCCAAGCCTTTATTTGCCCGTAAACATTTATAACGCCTCCACTACTGTCAGTAACTGCTCTGTGGTGTGCCTTCTACGTGTAGCACACGTGCCTTTCTTTCTTTTCTAAAGTATATAGGCCTATCAGATATGCATCTGTACTTCTGGATTAAGGATTTTGGAGATAATCTGAAGGTATATTTGTCCCGCGTTTAAATGTAAAGGTAAAGAAAAATGCAGAAAGTCTACTTGACCTAGGATTGTAAAATGTTTGATACAATACCTGGGGTTAACTTTTTCCAAGAGCTTTTATGGCAAAAGTAACAGATTTGACCTAGTATAAAGGCTGTTATGCCGTTTTTATATTTGTTTTTATTGTAACTTGTGTGCGGTTATGCCTCGCTAAGTTTTCTGTTAGCTAACGACGTTTTTGGGTCAGTATTTGTAGTTTTTTTTTTACCTTCAGGTTCCAGTACATATATTTGCAAATGTAGTTACATGGGGCTTTGTATGAAATAATGTTTTAGTTTGTGTTTTTCTTATCTCTAACCTTCAAGCAAAAATAGATGTAGAGGTTTTAACTCAGTCTCTAGTGCTGTTTCAGAAATGGTAAAATGTTACGAGTATATTTTATCATTTATTTATTGAATACTATTAAAAATAAATACTATATGTTGTGGGACACTTCACAAATATACACCTATAAGTGTGAACATGTTTTCCCCAGTGCTGGTGCTTAACTTATATACTTGCTTAAGAGGAGCAACTATTATTGCAATGTCCCAAGACTGATTATCTCTTCATGTGTAGATATTAGCGAACATCAACACAGCGCTTGTTAATAAGTCCCGCTGATATTGAATCTTTAGCAGTTATGAGATCACTTAGTTTGGTGTGTAATCTATGTGAAGGTGGGAATGACGTCCAAGCATAATACAGGGGTGACGTATCTCAGCCTACTGATCATATCAGTTTCACGTGTTCTCTGTCTCATGTCTTCCTAGTGATCAGAGTCTGCTGTCCGTTTTACAGGACACGTTCCTGGAAACTGGGGCTTGATCTGGCAATCGCCGGTCTTTTTCTCCAACCTGAAATTGGAGGTAAAAATAAAACATTTAAGAGTGCCATTTTTTGGAGAAAAGATTAAGAAATTATCAGTCACTTTTAATGAATTATCAGTCACTTAGTAAAGTTTTCCTGCATATTTTCCTGGAATAAAGGTTATATTTTCTCTGAGAAAGCAACCTCCTTTTCTGACACTCTCCAAAAACTCTGAGAGCATTCACAACCAGCTGATCTGCAGACTGACTAGTCTGTGGATCAAATAAGACTCCGTTCACATGAAAAATCTATTTTCTATTTGCGGTATCTTGTGATCACTCCGAGCGCAGTGGAGAATTAATTACAGCTTTGGAAGTAACTGGCTCACGCTGCCAGTAATTACGCAGCGGGGTATTCAGGGCACAGGCCGTGATCACAAGATACCACGAATAGAAAATAGATTTTTAGAAAATAGATTTTGCATGTGAATGGTCCCTAAGGTGTGACCCACTTGAAAGCATGTGCTGAAATTAAATTGTTCTGTCCCTGCTGGGAGGCAGGGAATCCATTACATAATTGTTTGGGAATTATGCAGCTTGCTTTCAAGTGGGTGGCATATTTGATTCATAGACTAGTTAGTCTGCAGATCAAGTGGTTGCGAATGCTCTCTCTCTGTTACAATTTAGGGAAAGTAGAAGGTCCTTAACACATGCTTTCACATGGGTTTTTTAAGCACTAACATCCCTTTCGGTAAATTCTTGTACTGACTTATGGGTTGCGCTTCATTCAAAGCTAGACAAAGATGGTTGAAGCATGTCAAGGTTTGTCGGCGATGACAGATTTAATTATTTTTGTGACATTAATTCATGGCATTTACCTGTTAAAATAAGATGAAAAATATTTCTTGTCCATAGTTTAACAAGAAGTGGTTTATTTACTTAACATTTGTTGAATATCTGACACTTTGTTCCTTTTAGGGCATAGGGTGTGATTTATGATGCAACATACTCCATATAATTGCCTAATGCTTTTTTTATGCAATTTCAGTTTCTTGATATTCACAAATGCAAAGCACTGTGTCCACACATGCTTTTCAAATCACTTCTGGAATTTTGATACAATTATTTTGATCTCTAGCTGTGATAAGCCTCCATGTGCAGTCTTTTTAATTGTGGTTTTAATGTCTGAAAGATGGTATTATATCAAAGTCATATATTGACAATTTAACTCAACTGCATAACTGACTCGGTGAAATGCATTAAGGAAAACTCCTTTGACGTCTATATTTTTTTCTGATATAGTACATCAGAGGAGACTAGGCTCTGTATAGGTGAACTTCTTAATTAAATGGCATGTCTATCTTATTTAGCCACCTGCACCTAAGAAAACAAGGCAGCAAAGCTGTCAAATGTACAGACAAAAAACAGGAAATAACTATGCACAAAATAGGCTACTGTCAATTTTGATGCAAAAATACATTATGTTAAACTGCAAATTCAACATCAAATTTTAATTATCCTCAACAGGTAATACCAATGTAATTAAAATATGTGACAAGTTTACACTTTGAAAATGTATAACTTCCAGAAAAAGAAGTCACTTAGACTGCTTTTCCAACTCAGACTGCATTTTAGTCCTGTATTTCTTTTTTTAAAGTTTGGCAATCATAAGTAACATGGTTTTCCCATAATGGTCATCATGGCAGCAGCACCCAAAATTGTGTTTTCTTCTATTCTGATGCCATATTACATAATGGTTAACAGCATAATGACC